ATTTGTGAGAGTGTTGGGTCATCCTTTAGGATAGGTTGTAAATCCTTAATAATGCGTTGGAGGGGTTTTAGTTGGGGGCTGAAGGTGACGGCTAGTGGCGTTCTGTTATTTTCTTTGTTAGGCCTGTCCTGTAGTAGGTGACTTCTGGGAACTCTTCTGGTTCTATCAAACTGTTTCTTCACTTCCACAGGTGGGTATTGTAGTTGTAAGAAAGCTTGACAGAGATCTTGTAGGTGTTTGTCTCTGTCTGAGGGGTTGGAGCAAATGCGGTTGTATCGCAGAGCTTGGCTGTAGACGATGGATCGTGTGGTGTGGTCAGGGTGAAAGCTGGAGGCATGTAGGTAGGAATAGCGGTCAGTAGGTTTCCGGTATAGGGTGGTGTTTATGTGACCATTGTTTATTAGCACTGTAGTGTCCAGAAAGTGGATCTCTTGTGTGGACTGGACCAGGCTGAGGTTGATGGTGGGATGGAAGTTGTTGAAATCATGGTGGAATTCCTCAAGGGCTTCTTTTCCATGGGTCCAGATGATGAAGATGTCATCAATATAGCTCAAGTAGAGTAGGGGCTTTAGGGGACGAGAGCTGAGGAAGCGTTGTTCTAAATCAGCCATAAAAATGTTGGCATACTATGGGGCCATGCGGGTACCCATAGCAGTGCTGCTGATCTGAAGGTATACATTGTCCCCAAATGCAAAATAGTTATGGGTAAGGACAAAGTCACAAAGTTCAGCCACCAGGTTAGCCGTGACATTATCGGGGATAGTGTTCTTGACGGCTTGTAATCCATCTTTGTGTGGAATGTTGGTGTAGAGGGCTTCTACATCCATAGTGGCCAGGATGGTGTTATCAGGAAGATCACCGATGGATTGAAGTTTCCTCAGGAAGTCAGTGGTGTCTCGAAGGTAGCTGGGAGTGCTGGTAGCGTAGGGCCTGAGGAGGGAGTCTACATAGCCAGACAATCCTGCTGTCAGGGTGCCAATGCCTGAGATGATGGGGTGCCCAGGATTTCCAGGTTTATGGATCTTGGGTAGTAGATAGAATATCCCAGGTCGGGGTTCCAGGGGTGTGTCTGTGCGGATTTGATCTTGTGCTTTTTCAGGAAGTTTCTTGAGCAAATGCTAAAGCAATTACAGACTCCAGCGAGAAACTGCTGAATTGGAATTCATTTGCAAATTGGATACTATTAATTTAGGCTTAAATAGAGACTGGGAGTGGCTAAGTCATTATGCAAGGTAGCCTATTTCCCCTTGTTTTTTCCTACCCCCCCCCCCGCCCCCGACGTTCTGGTTAAACTTGGATTTAAACTTGGAGAGTGGTCAGTTTGGATGAGCTATTGCCAGCAGGAGAGTGAGTTTGTGTGTGTGTGTGTGTTCCCGGAAAAAAAAAAAGGGGGGGGGGGTGAGAAAGCCTGGATTTGTGCTGGACATGGCCCACCTTGATTATCATGCACATTGTAGGGAGAGTGGTCACTTTGGATGAGCTATTACCAGCAGGAGAATGAGTTTGTGTGCGGGGTGTGGGGGGTGAGAAAACCTGGATTTGTGCTGGAAATGGCCCAACTTGATGATCACTTTAGATAAGCTATTACCAGCAGGAGAGTGGGGTGGGAGGAGGTATTGTTTCATGATCTCTGTGTGTATATAATGTCTGCTGCAGTTTTCACGGTATGCATCTGATGAGGTGAGCTGTAGCTCACGAAAGCTCATGCTCAAATAAACTGGTTAGTCTCTAAGGTGCCACAAGTACTCCTTTTCTTTTTGCTAATACAGACTAACACGGCTGTTACTCTGAAACCTGTCGGAAGAGAGGATACTGGGCTAGATGGACCTTTCGTCTGACCCAGTATAGCTGTTCTTATGTACATATGTGCAAGGTGGCCAAGTTAACACTGCAGTAGTACTACTAAGTGTCCTCAGAGCTATGTCAGCACTTATTAAATACAGCACCTAAGCAAGGTGTTTAATCCAAGGCCTGAATGAACATTCTTAAACCTGACAACGCCTCCTTTAAACATGTTCGGGGGAAACATACTCTAACACAATTGTATAAAAATGCTGAATTAAATCTTTAAAATCCATTTTCTTCAAATTTCATTTTTTCCCGTTTTACTCAATAAGGATTATAAAGCAAGCTAAGTTTGAAGTTTCTAGCTTCAGCCGTTTTTGAGCTATGTGAGCATAAAATTTCAATTGGCAGAAAGGGAAAGCGTAAGGGTTTTTTTTTATGTTCACATAAAACTGAATTAATTTTATTTGCATTTCTGTTTTTTCTAAGTTTAAGCAAAAATCAACACCTCATCATGTCCGTGTATTTTTGAGTAGGCCAAATCAACAACTCCCCACATGGTAACTGTGAAATGTACAGTGCCTGGTATCAGGAACAATATTCTGAAGCTGGCACATAAATATGAACCGTTTTTTCAAGGCTCTAATATATTATTCTGCATGGATCTCTTTCCTGTTTTATTTTGTTATCAGAAAGCATCTGCAGTACTGCATGTCTGTTAAAGCTAGTATAAAATTAATATATCTAGACTTATTTATGCTGCTTTATCCTGCCAGACTATTTGTTTTGATGGTCATACATATGTTTTTATTTCTTCTATGAACACTAATGTTTTTGACACTTGAAAGAAATCATTTTGAGGAATATGATAGTAGATGGCAAATATCCTGCATAACTTCAAGACTACGTATTTTTGCTATAGGTTTACATTAAATATCAATAACATTTACTATCATAATGAGCTTGTTTCAGTATGCACAAATGTAATCTGCATTTATTATGCTTGTCAACAAATAAGTGCTAATTTGAACCTTGTTTATAAAAACACATATGGAGAAGAATTATGGGGGAAATATAATGGGGGAAATTTGCCACCTCTGTACAAAGTCTGGGTATTCAGGCTCTAGATGAGTGACACACAGAGGGCTTGGGGAGGCCAAATCTACACATCAGCTGTTTCAGACCAAGGCTGGAATAGCAGCCACACCCATTCCAGAGGGTTTTGGCGTCACTGGACCCACAATCCCACCCCTATCCTATCCCCAATGTGACCTTATATGGGACCAGCGTGGAGATCCTGTCTTTAGCACATATCAGGTACACAGGCACCTTTGACTGGCAATTCTGCCTGCAGTCTCCAGTTGTGCAGCCTCTGTTTGGGACTTAAGTAGGCTGGAGGGCCTTGCAACACAGTTGAGTTTCATTCAAACTGCAGATGTGTCAAGTCTTGCCTCAGCACACACAGCTTGGCCAGAAATTTTTTCACAAAGATGAATCTTTTCACTTTCTAGAATGAAAAATTTGAGTTCTTGTCCCAATGGACACAGGAGGACATTCTGGCTGTACACGAGATAAAAATATGATTTTATTTTGTACAGCATCTTTCATACAAATGAGAGTCCAAAACACTGTGCCATATTAGACAGTAGAATTAAATAATAAGCAACAGCAAAGAGAGAGGGCATGTGCACGGAGGAAATAACCTACTTTTAAGTGATGTTCTATGAAGATATTCTTAGTAACAGACCCCCACTTTACAACGTGCTCTTGTGTTAGAGGGCAAGGGGAGACCTCTTCAGGTTCAAAATTCTAAGCTGTTGGTTCCAGCAGGGCGTATCACATGTCAGTCCCTGCAACCAAAATAAGAGCCTTCTATTGACCTAATTACCAGTTCCCCTTGAGGAAGAAGCCGAGATATATGCAGAATTTAAAAGTATACAGGAAGGTTACAGAACCCCTAACTCTGAAAAGTGCAGAATGGATGAGTAGGTGATCTGTCATAACATGTTCTAATCAAAGCAATTAAAGGGAAGTAATTTTCCCTTCTCCATAGAGGTGACAGATCCCCACCCTTGGAGACTAAAATGTTCCAGGGATGTCTTTATAAAACAAAGACACAATGTCACTGAACAAGATACTGCAACATCCAGTAGAAAAACAAGGTGAATATACCTTGAACAATAACAGTAAATATGTGTGTGCTGGACAAAGGTGATTTTAATAGGTTTTATACTCTTTTTCATTAAAAAAAGGAGGAAATGAAAAGATTTCTTTTGAACAACCCCCCCCCCTCCAAATCAGACATCTCAAAAATAAAAAGCTGCTAACTGGGAAAAGGTTCTGGTCATCCAGAGGTACCGACTTTCTCATTTCCCTGGGGAGTGCTCGATCCCTGCTCTGCCCCAGGCCCCGCCCTCACTCCACCCCTTCTTCCAAAGCCCAACCCAACCCAACCCCACTCCACCTTGCCCCGCCTCTTCCCGTCTCCTCCCCTGAGTGCGCCCCACCCTCGCTCCGTCTCTTCCTGACTCTGCCACACCGCCTCCTGCTGAACAGCTGATCACCAGTGGGCGGGAAGCACTGGGGGGGAGGGGAAGAGGGAGGAGCTTATCAGCAGGGCTGCTGAGCACCCACTTTTTTTTTTCTGGGGGTCAGCGCCTATTGGTCTTTCAATCAAATTTTAACTCCGGACTTGAGATTGCATCTAAGCAACAGTTTTTCATGAGTATTTGGAGAAATGTGGATTTGATGGGCAATCTCCTGGACGGATACAGAACAAAGATGGCAGAGGAAAAGACTGCTCTTGTTTCAAATGGGGCTTAGCATGATCTTAGAATTGTAAGCCTGTCTGCAATGAAAGATTCAGTAATCAGCCTTTTAGAAACAGTTTACTTGGGATAGGTCTACACAGCAATAAAACACCCTGTCAACTGACTTGGGCTCACAGGGCTCAGGCTGCAGGACTATAAAATTGCAGTATAGCTATTCAGGCTCAGGCTGGAACCCATCAGGCTCTCATGAGAAGGGTGTGTGAAACAGTTCGTGAGGTCCCAGGTTACAAAGACTTCTTATTTAATACATTTTGCACAAGTTCCAGAATCAGGACCCTAATATTATAAAATTAACCTGAAAAACTAAGACACAAATGTTTTTAGCCTGTAATCTATGTAAAACTGCATTTCACAATGTGCCACTTGACAGTCACAGAAACTTACACTTAAAAGTGCTGCATTTCTTTTATAAGCTGCATCAGCTGCTTGTGTTTGCGACATCTTTTCAGTCTTTTTGTCTCCTAGATGATTCTCCATCTGCTGTAGCAATACCAATCTCTGAGAGAGTCTACAAAGGAAAATATTTTAATAAGTGGGCAGAACACTTTGCACAGTAGCTAGAAAATAATAACCTTTTACCTTAACCAATTCTTTTGAAATTATAGGCCTAATTATGCCTGTTTCAGTGTGGGTGTGCTGAGGGAGGAAGAAAGTACAGACAGACCCTTCCCGCTGTGTTCCCATGCAGTGAGGCAGACATAATGCTGCAATCAGCAGTGCTCATACATGAAGGGGGCTCACAAGCACTGAGTATCTCAGATGATGTGTGGCAGGAGGGGTTGAGGTAGTATAGGCACAGCACCACCCCTGCAAGTGCTCAGAAGCCAACACTGAAAGGAGAATGAGTAATATGTTTTCTGAAAGAAACGTAGCAAGAGTCAAAGAGCTCCCTGTAGAGTCCCCAGAGACCATTATAGTTCTTGCCATATGCACTCATATTCCCTCCAGATACCTCCACTCAGGTGGTACTTGTGAGCCATCCTTACATGAGCCTTAGATTTTCACATGTCTCATTTTAAACTAACCTATAAAACTCAACCTTACCCACAAGTGCTAATCTAGATAGACTCTGTTGTCACATAAGTTAGTAAATGATGGATGTGGTATAAGATGCACGTGATCATAAAATTTTGTTTGTATTGCAGCCAGAGTACCCAAACATTCTGCGAACAGCTGAACGGAATTCACTCAATGTAGCTGCATTTACTTACACTAGACGTGAACGTGACCCATGATTTTCAGAACAATTATTCTTTGTCAGTTTTCCCAGTCTGCAGCAACAGTACTCATCCAATGAAGTGAGCTGTAGCTCACGAAAGCTTATGCTCAAATAAATTGGTTAGTCTCTAAGGTGCCACAAGTACTCCTCACCTTAACTGATCACTCTTGTTATAGTGTGTATGGTAACACCCATTGTTTCATGTTCTCTGTGTGTGTATATATATATATATATCTATCTTCCTACTGTATTTTCTACTGCATGCATCCGATGAAGTGGGTTTTAGCCCACGAAAGCTTATGCTCAAATAAATGTGTTAGTCTCTAAGGTGCCACAAGTACTCCTGTTCTTTTCACTTTACAAGCTGAGTTAACCGTGAACTGAAGATGTATTGATATTTTAGAAATCAAAATGTGAAGAAAATACTATATTGAACTGAAACCACAAGTTGAGTTTTGGATGGCAGAACTCAAGCTACTTGAGTTGGAATTTAGTCAGGATACTGAGGTTAAAGGTCAGGTCCCCAGTTCTGCAGCTCATCTGGAAGACAACAGCATTGGCAGCACTGATCTCCCTTGTGGCAGACTGGGATACTGATTCAGTAGTTTTCAAAGGAAGAGTGCCCCCTATCGAAACACCAACCCCTTGTTTCAGGACTTAAATATTCTGTGGAGGTCTCCCATCCACATACTTATCAGCCAGCCCTGCATAGTTTGAGAGCTTTGGGAAGATCATAGAACAAGTTGCTACAACACAGGCCACAATCCTGAAACAAGTACTTACATCTTGTCATGTCTTCTAGCAAGCTGAACTTCTTGTGCTAAGTAGGATGCCATCTTTGATTACTTAACTAACTGCCAACTTTACTCTATTAAAGAAAACAAAGGAAAGTTAAAATTATTCCTCCAAAGATATACATGAATACTTATCTTTTAAGTATTTAAGAATGTTGCATATTAGACAGACCTAGTTACATGCAGGGCAGCTTCCTATCTGACTAAGCAACTTTTTTTTTTTAAAAAAGTGAAATCGGAGCTGTGTACAATAAAACACTATATAGATAATAGCACTACTGGATACTTTACTTGTTCAAAACACTGTATATACACATTACTAACTCATGCTTACATCTCCTCTTGAATCTCATTAAACCCATTTTACCTACTGGAGAATGGCGGCACAAAGGCTTGATTTTCAGCTATGCAAGCTGAATGTGCATTTACGTGCCTCTACTATAGTAAAACGCTCATGCAAACTATGCATATACAAAGACTATTTAGATTAAGACCATGAGAAAAATACTAGTTTAGAGACACTGGAAAAAAGATGCATCCCTATTTAAGTATATAGATAATTTAAAACAGTTGAATTATGGTAATTCATCTTATATACATGTAATCTACTATGTTATATAAAAATGGAGTGAAACCAGCACAGTCCCTCTGCTGTATAAATCAGAGGATGAAGAATTACACAAATGGTAGAATCTAAATCTTATTGTGAGGGTTATAATGAAACACCAAAAAACAACGTCCATACTGTCTGCTCTGCATGGAGCTTAAAGCTTCCCCCCCCCCCCAAAGACTAAGGTCTATCCTATTCTGTGGTCAGTTGTTTACCAAGCTCCACCTCAAAGGAGTCTGCATTACTCTAAAGTGCTTTGGGATCCAGCAGAATGAAAGTCACTAGGTATTCATAAAACGATGAACACAACTATGTGCAGCAGATATCTGGGGGAATAAAAATATCAAGGGGCTGAACCAGCTAGAGCAATCCCACCCCACCCTCTAAATTTGCACGCACACAATCTACTGCCAATTATCCGGATAGCATGGGCAATGCGGATGTTATTCAGACAACTCGGGGGAAGAGAGCCTTTCAGCAGCGACATCGCCATGGGCTTGTCCTCCACCTCACAAGCCTGGCCAGTGTGTGTGTGTGTCCACTGCTCTGTTCAGGCCTCTGTATTATCGACCCCCCCTAACGTGAGCTCACAGGTGACAAGGAAAGGATTCAGATAATGGGGAAAACGGGACTCACCCCTATAGACAAATATTTTACCATGGGGGGTGGGGGCGGACGGACGGACAGGGAGCTGTTGCCCTCCCACAGGGCAAGCCTGAAGCAGCGGCAGAATTGGCCGGACTGGAGCTGCCCCCCAGGCAAGTCACACTGTGGCTCTGCATTTTGCAATGACTCCTGATCGACACCAAGGGCATCCTCCTTGAAGGTCCCCAGTGGATGCGGCGGGAGGAGAAGAACGGGCCAAATCACACTCCTCCCCCCCCCCAGTAATAAACGTGAGGTACTGGCGGTGCTGGGGGGGGCACCTGCTGGCTGGGCCCAGCGCTGTCCTTGCCAACGGCCATAAACCTGGTGCCAGAGCCCCGGGCTCCTCCCCGCCCAGGCACTGGAAGCCCCCTAGCAGTGCTCTGCCCGCACGGGAAAACAGAGCCCCCCCCTCAGGCCCAGCACCCCCATAGGGGACATCGATGGCGGGGGGGGGGGGAGGTGACACGTCGAGCGCCTCAAGGCCCAGTGGGCGGGAAAGGCGCGAGGGCGGCGCTCGCGCCCGATCAGCCGCCGGGGGGCGGGGCAGGGCACGCGCACGAGCAGGGGCGAGCCCCTGGGCTCCGGCCCCTGAGGCTTCGCCATCCTCCTCCGCGGCTCGACCACCGCGTGCGGGAGGAGGGGGCCCACGGGACGTACCACTCCGCGCAGGGCCGATCGTGCCGCCCAGCAGCGCCCCCTTCGGCTCGTCCGAGCCCTGCGGCCCACTGTCCACTTACCGTCATGCGGCCGGCGCGGCACCATGGAGACGGCAGGAAAGGAGGGGGCGCCACTCCCTGCCATTGGTCCCTCCACCTCGGTGGGCGGGCTCAGGCCCTGGGCCGGGTCAGGTGCCTCCCCGCCTTCGCCGCCGTGATTGGAGAAGAGCGGGGTCGGTAACCAATCACATGCGGAGGGCGGCCCTCGGGGCCACACGGGAACATGGGGAGGGAGGGGATTGGAAGGCGAGAAGGTCCCTGTTTCCAGCCCCGCCCCTTTGCCACGGGGGCTCTGCGGCTTCCCTCGTTATCCGGCCCCAACCGCCGGGGTCAGTCAGACCTGCCCCTGCCCCTCCCCCTCCCCCTCCCCTGAGCCTTGCCCCGTGTCAGACCCCTCCTGCCCCCCATCAGTCAGATCCACCCCCCCATCATTCGCTCCTGCCCCTCCCCCCACTCAGCCTTGCCCCGTGTCAGACCCCCCTCCCCCCCATCAGTCAGATCCACCCCCCCTCATTCGCTCCTGCCCCCCCCTCCCCTGAGCCTTGCCCCGTGTCCGACCCCTCCTGCCCCCCCATCAGTCAGATCCACCCCCCCATCATTCGCTCCTGCCCCTCCCCCCTCCCCCTGAGCCTTGCCCCGTGTCCGACCCCTCCTGCCCCCCCGTCAGTCAGATCCACCCCCCATCATTCGCTCCTGCCCCTCCCCCTCCCCTGAGCCTTGCCCCGTGTCAGACCCCTCCTGCCCCCCGTCAGTCAGATCCACCCCCCATCATTCGCTCCTGCCCCTCCCCCCTCCCCTGAGCCTTGCCCCGTGTCAGACCCCTCCTGCCCCCCCGTCAGTCAGATCCACCCCCCCATCATTCGCTCCTGCCCCTCCCCCCACTCAGCCCTGCCCCGTGTCAGACCCCTCCTGCCCCCCCGTCAGTCAGATCCACCCCCCATCATTCGCTCCTGCCCCTCCCCCCACTCAGCCTGCCCGTGTCCGACCCCTCCTGCCCCCCGTCAGTCAGATCCACCCCCCATCATTCGCCCTGCCCCCCTCCCCTGAGCCTTGCCCCGTGTCAGACCCCTCCTGCCCCCCCGTCAGTCAGATCCACCCCCCATCATTCGCTCCTGCCCCCCCTCCACTCAGTCCTGCCCCCCAGTCAGTCAGATCCACCCCCCCATCATTCGCTCCTGCCCCTCCCCCCCACTCAGCCTTGCCCCGTGTCCGACCCCTCCTGCCCCCCCATCAGTCAGATCCACCCCCCCATCATTCGCTCCTGCCCCTCCCCCTCCCCTGAGCCCTGCCCCGTGTCAGACCCCTCCTGCCCCCCCGTCAGTCAGATCCACCCCCCATCATTCGCTCCTGCCCCTCCCCCCACTCAGCCTTGTCCCGTGTCCGACCCCTCCTGCCCCCCCGTCAGTCAGATCCACCCCCCCCATCATTCGCTCCTGCCCCCCCCTCCCCTGAGCCTTGCCCCGTGTCAGACCCCTCCTGCCCCCCATCAGTCAGATCCACCCCCCATCATTCGCTCCTGCCCCCCTCCCCTGAGCCTTGACCCGTGTCAGACCCCTCCTGCCCCCCCATCAGTCAGATCCACCCCCCATCATTCGCTCCTGCCCCCCTCCACTCAGTCCTGCCCCCCAGTCAGTCAGATCCACCCCCCATCATTCGCTCCTGCCCCTCCCCCCCACTCAGCCTTGCCCCGTGTCAGACCCCTCCTGCCCCCCCGTCAGTCAGATCCACCCCCCCATCATTCGCTCCTGCCCCTCCCCCTCCCCTGAGCCTTGCCCCGTGTCAGACCCCTCCTGCCCCCCCGTCAGTCAGATCCACCCCCCCATCATTCGCTCCTGCCCCTCCCCCCTCCCCTGAGCCTTGCCCCGTGTCAGACCCCCTCCTGCCCCCCCGTCAGTCAGATCCACCCCCCATCATTCGCTCCTGCCCCTCCCCCCCACTCAGCCTTGCCCCGTGTCAGACCCCCTCCTGCCCCCCCGTCAGTCAGATCCACCCCCCCCATCATTCGCTCCTGCCCCTCCCCCTCCACTCAGTCCTGCCCCCCAGTCAGTCAGATCCACCTCCCCATCATTCACTCCTGCCCCTCCCCCTCCACTCAGTCCTGCCCCGTGTCACACCCCTTCTGCCCCCAGTCAGTCAGATCCACCCCCCATCATTCGCTCCTGCCCCTCCCCCTCCACTCAGTCCTGTCCCCCAGTCAGACCCCTCCTGCTCCCCAGTCAGTCAGATCCACCCCCCCATCATTCGCTCCTGCCCCATGTCAGACCCCTCCTGCCCCCCAGTCAGTCAAATCAACCCCCACTTCTCCAAGGCCCCACCCCTCTCACTCCAGCCCCCCTCCGTCCGTCGCTCGATCTCCCCCACCCTCACTCACTTTCACTGGGCTGGTGCAGAGGGTTGGGGTGCAGGAGGGGATGTGGGGTGAAAGCTCTGGGAGGGGGTGTGGGTGCTGGAGGGGGCTCCAAGCTGGTTCAGGAGGTTGGGGTGCGGAAGGGTTGTGGTGTGTGGCCTCTGGTCAGGTGGCACTTACCTCGGGCGGTTCCTGAGTGGTGGCCCAGTGGGGCTAAGGCAGGCTTCCTGCCTGCTCTGGCCCCGCGCTGCTCCCAGAAGTGGCCGGCCTGTCAGGCCCCTGGGAGCGGGGAGGGCAGGAGGTCTCCGCTCGCTGCCCGTGCCCCGAGTGCTGACTCCACAACTCCCGTTGGCCAGGAACTGCGGCCAATGGGAGCTGCAGGGGCAGAGCCTGCCTTAGCCCCGCTGCGCCACTGACCGGGAGCTGCCGGAGTTAAGCAGGGTCGGGGGCTCTGCGCGCCACCTCCTCTGTGCGCTGCTCCCAGAAGCAGCCAGTACCTGTGGCAGCCTCGGGGGTGAGGGGGGGGCTCCATGCTCTGCCCTTGCCTGCAGGCACCACCCCTGCAGCTCCCATTGGCCGCAGTTCCCAGACAATGGCAGCTGCGGAGTTGGCCCTCGAGGCGCAGGCAGCGAGCGGAGACCCCTGCCTCCACCTGCTCAGGGGCCGCAGAGATGTGCTGGCCACTTCCGGGAGCAACATGGGGCCAGGGCATACAGGGAGCCTGCCTCACCCCTGCTGTGCCACCGGACTTCTAGCTGCTAAAATCTCTCAGATCGGCTTTCATAGCCTCCGGGAGATTAAGCCCGCTTCAGGGAGATTCCTGGCAAAACCGGAAGGGTTGGCAACCCCACCCCTCAGTTCTACCCCCAGTCAGTCAGATCAACTCCTCATCATTCGCTCCTGTCCTGTCCCTCCCCCTCTCCAGTGAGTCCTGCCCCTTGTCAGACCCCTCCTGCACCTTCAGTGAGACCCCTGTATCATTTGTTCCTCCCCTGCCCTGGTCAGTCCTGCCCCATAGTCAGTGAGATCCACCCCTCATTCACTCCTGCCCCTGTCCTGCCTCATCCCCCAATCAGTTCAGTCCTGCCCCATAGTCATTGAAATCTACCCCCACCAATCATTCTTGCCCTCCCCTAATTAGTCAGTCCTGCCCCTCCCTCAGTCAGATCTACCCCAACTTCACTCCTGCCCCTCCCCTCCCCCACTCAGTCCTGTCTCCAAGTCAGATGGACCTGCCCTTCCTCTCCCCCCAATAGCTCAGCCTTCCTTGTAGGGTTGCCAATTTTGGTTGGATGTATTCCTGGAAATTTCACCAGATGCCATAATCTTTAATTAAAGATTAATCTTTAAATCCTGGAGATTCCAGACCAGAGGTGGGCAAACTTTTTGGCCTGAGGGCCACGTCGGGGAACAGAAATTGTATCGCAGGCCATGAATGCTCTCAAAATTGGGGTTGGGGTGTGGGAGCGGTGAGGGCTCTGGTTGGGGGTGCGGGCTATGGGGTGGGGCTGGGTATGAGGAGTTTTAGGTGCAGGATGATGCTCTGGGCTGGGACCAAGGGGTTCGGAGAGCAGGAGGGGGATCAGGGCTGGGCAGAGGTGCAGGAAGGAGTGCAGGTTCCAGCTGGGGGTGCGGACTGTGCGGTGGGGGTGGGGATGAGAGGTTTGGAGTGCAGGAGGGTGGTCTGTGCTGGGATGGAGGGCTTTGGAGAGTGGGAGGGGGATCAGGGCTGGGGTGTGGAGAGAGGCTCAGGGATGCAGGCTCTGAGCGGCGCTTACCTCAAGCAGCTCCTGGAAGCAGTGTCATGTCCCTTCTCCGGCTTCTACGTGTGGAACGGCCTCTGACCCTCAGAGCAGGGCCATGTGGCTGCTTCCACGAGCTGCGTGGTGTGGCCCCTGACCTGGTGCCCTGGAGTGGTACCAGGCCGTGGCTTCCGGGAGCCGTGTGGTGCGGTCCCCAACCTGGCGCCCCGGCTGGAGTGCCGGAACAGGGCAAATCCCAGATCCCGCTCTCCAGTGGGAGCTCACAGGCCAGCTTAAAAGAGCCTCCGGCCCGCGGGCCATAATTTGCCCACACCTGCTCCAGACCAATCTTGGAGGG